GCACGGTAAGTCAAACAGCGGTTAGATATTTATAATTTAGGACCTGTTGATTTAATTCTTTGATAAAGAAGTAACAGCGATGTTTCCATAGCAATAAATATCGAGTTCTAAATCTATTTACACGTTACATTTTTGCAATAGTTATTTGTCAACTTGGGATGTGCCTTGACTTTCGCCAGTTTAATTTTACCTGTAAAAATGTTTCATTTTGACTCTTATTTGCCTAGATCAATTCTTAGAAAGCCGTTAACGCCTTGTTGACGGTCTCGGGCCAGATACGCTACCGGTACCAATATTAACGTATGTTCAACGCACTAGAAATGCGAAAAGTGTTACGAATATTAAGAAAAAGTAATAATAATAATAATAATAATAAATTAAACAAAGCCAGTGTTGCAGAGAGATTGGAATTAATTACTGGAAAGTACATTCTGAGGATTTTGATTAAAATAAATAATACCGTTTTCGTGTCTATCATTTTTCACATGTAGTTCTAGCCTCAGAAGTTGGAAATTATTTTCTTTATTTTTATTTATTATATTATGCCCTTTCGATAGTCCCGATGATATTATGCCCTCCCAGTGATAGTCCACATTATCTACTAATTCAGAAGTACTGACGCGAAGGACAGTTTTAATGAAATCATTCCTTTTAATTAAGTGCTACAGAAAGATAAACGAACTCTTCTTTTCAAATCTGAGAATGTGGCATAGACCAGACCTGGAATTATCCTACGTAACAGTACACAAGCCACACAGTAGGGCTTGAGTACTATTGAATAAGCGCTTTATAATGACGTCTCGGACAAATTTACGGCCGGTCTCCCCGGCCGCGAGATGAAACTTGGTACACTTATTCATTAGGACCTAACGGTGATGTTTAGCTCGTGAAAATTTTTGAAATTTCACCTTTATTCGTGAGTTATATGGCGATAAGTTGCGAAATTCGCAGTGAAGAAGACATTTCTTTCAAACTACTTTACAGATTTCAACGAAACTTTGAATATACGAACCTAACCTCCCAACGGTGATATTTAGCTCGTGACAACTTTTTCGATTTTGCCTTCGTTCGCGAGTTAAACGGAGATGCGGAACAACGACCGGCATATCTCGGGCCAATATTTAAACTTGCTTTGACCATTTACGTATGGCTGTTTAAATCACGAATGAGGGAAAATGGAAGAAAACTCGCGAACGCAGGCAAAATCTAAAAAATTGTCATGAGCTAAACATCACCGTTGGGAGGTTAGGTTTTTATATTCAAAGTGCTGTTCAAATATGTACAGTAGTTTTGAAGAAATGTCTTGTTCACTGCGAATTTCGGCACGTATCGCCATATAGAATAGAATAGAATAGAAGTGTCGGCGTTGAAGAAATAGGCCCATGGCCTGTTGCCGATTCTTGAACTTTTCGTGACTTGATTCGCAAGGGATCCGGCCTTTGGAACCCGATCATAGAGCTACGTACGGCTTCTTGTACGTAGCTTCCCGCGCAAATGTTTTGATAATACTACCGCTAGAGTTACTTCTTCATATCAGCACTTACGCCACACGTAAGTCGCTACGTGTACTTAGCGATGTTTTGATAATCCGGCCCCTGGTCGCCTCGCCCGTTTTCGAACATAAACGGTCATTCAAAACTCATCGATACAGCTGCGATTCCTGAAGTCCTGCATGATGGTCATAGTTCTGCGTGATGGTCATAGTTCTGCGTGATGGTCATAGTCCTGCATGATGGTCATAGTCCTGCATGATGGTCATAGTCCTGCATGATGGTCATAGTCCTGCATGATGGTCATAGTTCTGAGGGCCGCGCGACTGGCAAGGCTTACGGCTGCGGTCCAATGTCTTGCGCATGCCACAATGGCACGACGCCACGGCGTGTAACACTGGCGCGACGCCACGACGTGCAACAATGGCGTGACGCCACGACGTGCAATAATGGCGCGACGCCATGGCGTGCAACAATGGCGTGACGCCACGGCGTGTAACAATGGCGTGACGCCACGGCGTGCAACAATGGCATGACGCCTGCACGGCGTGCAATAATGGCATGACGCCACGGCGTGCAATAATGACGCGACGCCACGGCGTGCAACAATGGCATGTCGCCACAGCGTGCAACAATGGCATGACGCCACGGCGTGCAACAATGGCATGACGCCACGGCGTGCAACAATGGCATGACGCCACGGCGTGCAATAATGGCGCGACGCCACGGCGTGCAACAATGGCGCGACGCCACGGCGTGCAACAATGGCATGTCGCCACAGCGTGCAACAATGGCATGACGCCTGCACGGCGTGCAACAATGGCATGACGCCACGGCGTGCAACAATGGCATGATGCCACGGCGTGCAATAATGGCGTGACGCCACGGCGTGCAACAATGGCATGTCGCCACGGCGTGCAACAATTGCATGCGCAGAAGCCGGTTGTTAGAAATTTCCGATGTTCTTAAGTTGTACATTTTGAGTTCTTTTTCTCCATAATTATTGTGAGGTACGGTATGGGTTTGTAAATAGTGAAAAGATCGATGGTGAAAAGATCGATTTAATTTTGTTCCGGCAGGAGTGTGAAGCTATTTCTTCCTGTTTTCTTTACTTAAGTTCGAGTGATCACTCATTGTGTTTCGTTTTATTTATTTTTGTTGAAAATTTAAAAATTGCGTGTTCGCGCTTTCTTCGATTAGATGGGGGGCCGACTCCAGAGCTATAATTTGGCTTAGCCTCTTCTTATGGCTCGACCACTTTTACTTTTAGCTTCTGCTTATTACTAGAATAACTTTAATATTTGTTCCGAACATTTTGGGAAAGTTTGGAGCTTTCCTATGATAAAGTTATTTGATAATTTTGGAATCTGCCCTCCCTTTCTTTCACCGTCATTATTTCCCTTTACATGGCCTCTTAAAATTACAGCTTATCCACTTGCTGGCACAAGATTTTATTAAGGTGGGTATAAGGCCGTTGCTAGTCTGATAAAGTGCGAAAGATATTTAAGCTCGCAGAGCTTATATTTTTTACCATTTATTTTAGTCATTTCCTTTTTTGTACGACTGAATAACAGCGGATCTGGCGGGACACATCTTTAGATCTTTTGGTACCCTCAGCTATATATGGTTTATAATTCAAAGATCCTCCTGGATGTTCAGGGTGTGTAAATTTCTCACTGCTATGCGTGAATTTATTGAATCTTATTGCGACATTAGAATAGTAATATTGTTTTGCCAAATTGTAAATTGAAACGTTAATTACTTATTTCACTGTTATGTTGAGCCGGGTTTATTCGTCTGTACAACGTCGACCAGCCTGTATTTAACACGCTAGTAAGCTTTATTTTATTGGAACTTGGTTCTTTTCAGAATTTTCTGTGAATCGTCAGCTTTAATAAGCTATTGGACTTTGTTCTTCTGATCAAATTCTAAAATAAAGCTTCATTTCTTAGGTGCACACCACGCAGAACTTTCCCTGTGAGATAAAAAGACGCAAGCTGCTACTTCAACTCACTTAAAACTTAAATCGTTCGAATCAAAATAATTGATGAACCACATTGATGAAGCACATGTTATTGCAATAATGAAGCGCGCGAAATTGCAACAATAGAAGGTTGCAACCATCATCAACTCGATCTATAATAAAGTCTCTCCTGTCGCGTTACAATAAACAGCAGTAACAGCAGCTGTAGCAGCAGCAACAGCAGCAGCAGCAACAACAGCAACAGCAGCAGTACGATGTACCCACGATAATAATATGAAAATAAAGTAAGCTGCAGGGGCTGAACGTTCAACGTTTTTATTGTACACAACTGCGAATATCCAAGAGGTTTACGCGTTGTCTCACTGAGCGTAAGAGCGCTTCAGTAAAGAGTGCGTTTGAAAAAAAAAACAAAATTTCGTACTGAAATATAGTTTAATGTTTCATTCACTCAATAATCAGTTTTATTTTGCACACGAATCGTTTACCTGACAAGGAATGTTTTTATTCAATACTTTTCAACCAACATCAATGCGCTTGTAATAATACGGAAGCTCTTTTCCTATGGAAAAAATAAAAAAATTAACAATAAAGGCGTTCCTATAGCCACGCCGTGGCATTGATCAGAAAAAATAGAAGTCAAGGTCAGAAACACAAACTTGAATGTCTACAATAAAGATAAGTAGGAAGTTCAATACTCCTACGTGGCGTATGAAAGGAAGGAACGAGTCCGTGCCACCATTATACGTACACATGCACAATTTTTTTCAGTCGACAGTGAAAATCCGGTGCTGAAAGATAACCAAGAACATACAATAGATGCTTAATCTATGTACAACCATGTGGACATTCCATACATTTATGTTCGTTGTATGCTCTGTGTGGCAACTTGAGTTGTTCAACAGCGCAACATACGACTTATTGGATTATACAAGCCAAACTTCTACATAAGTTCAACATCAAAGTTAGTTTTTTTATTATCAAATGCAAAATTTTAACTCAGATCCTCTGACTTAAGTTATCTTATACAGCGAAAAGTCACGCAGTAATTCCTGGCACGAGAACAACCGAGCCTTGTTCTTGAGCGAGTGAAGTGCGCGGTAATATTTATTAAAAGAGGAGATTTTATTTATTATATTTTAGAATCATCCAGATGGACACTCGAGACCTGCTTAATACCTGAATAGCGGGACAGCTGACTGCCTGAATAGCGGGGCTATGCAGGCAAAACTCAATTAACAACGAACACGTTTAAAGTTACACAAAATCATCGAGTCTTCTACTGATATGAACATAAACAAATAGATGAAGGTATGGTGGGCAACGGACAAGAAGGATTCAAGTGAGGCACAATGGAAGAAAGAACCTAAATTAATTTAAAATTGTTAAATTTGGTGCGTTGAGCCCGCGGTCGCACAGTCAAGACTTGCTCATTCGGCAGAAAAAACTTGTCCTCTATCTTAAGGGTGAATGGACAACTATCATCCATTCAATGGACAACTATCATCCATTCAATAGAACCTATGTAATCAATATTTGGGTGGACAATTCTCGAGGAATTCAGAGAAGGTTGCCAGCGACATCAGTTCTGGGGTTTGCTCTTCTTCTTCGTCGTCGCTGTCGAGGAAATCGCAGCCAATGTTGTGGTCGTTGCCCAGGATGATGGTGCCCGGGCGCCAGCGCCACAACATCGACCCGCTCATTGTGCATCTGTAAACACAACAAATAATTAAATCTGAAGAATTTTAGTAGAAAATCCATTTACATACAATTTCCAATTGCTTATATATAATCGCCACAAAAGCTACCAATGGCTTATAACTGTAAAAGAAAGCGATCATCAAATAGTCAATGCGTGGAACTGCTCAGTAATAAGTAAGTAAACCTATCAATGTCAACCAAATAGATAATAAAAATATCATCAAAATATCTAGAAAACCCTTTAATAATTTCTGAGGAAAGAAGAATTAACGAATTTTAAAATAAGGATAAATTTCAATATACTTAATAATACGAGGTGCAGGTCATTTCTATCATACGTAAGAAATGGAATATTTAAGATATTTCAGAACATTTTCGTGTTATTACGCAACGTAAACTGAACAGATTCTTTAAAAAATATCTCAAAGTATATTACATGATAATTTAATGGATGAGGCAATGTTCAAGTTATTCTAAATATACGACAGCACAAAAAAACATTTGTGGTCATAAACCCAAAAATTTGACTTACGCGAAATCCGCCACTTTTTCATCAGACACTTCATATTCTGACACTTTGGTTCGGATATTATAGAAATATTTCTTGCTGGATGAGCGAGAGACGGCCATCATCCAAGGTGCTGTAAAAATAAGGATATTTAAAGGATATACAAATGTAATATTGAACGAATGTTCTCGCATAATTCGCGCTACACAAGTACAAGGTACACGCGTTCATCTATCAAGCATCGTGCATAAACCACGCAAGGTACTTTAATAAAGATACAAGCAGGGTGCGTACTGGTATTTAGAAAAAAAATTCCATGACTTTTCCATGACTCTCCATGACCATCAATATTTTTCTTCAGTTCATCAGCTCATCCAACAGAGCCGTCCTCTTCTGGGTTTTCTGGGCCTTCACTCTCTGCTCTTTCTCTTCTGCCAAATAAGTATTGTAGGCTATTTTAGCACTGCCAGCTGCAAGCAGCATCTTCTTGGTGATGGCCATCTTGTCCAGGCCACCAACATGTGCAACATGATCAACCACAGCACGCAGGGCAACCACCGTTCGCTCTTTCATGTTGTGTGTTGATTTCCTTGTTGAATGAAAACCCTCTTTCAACCGTGGCTTGACCATGAACAGGAGCATGAGCATCTGCACTACATTCCAGAGTTTCTTGTATGTGCTCTTTTGACAGAATGGCATGCCATAAAGTGTCCAGTCGATCAGAAGTTGAAATTGCTTGAAACTGTGCGTTCAGTTCACTGCAATGTTGTGATTCATCTCTAAAGTTGCACATCTCATCGCACAACACCATCCACATCTGTGTTTGGGAATCTCTTGGCATCAACAAGCTAAGTGAGACAGTTCTTCCTTACACAGGGTTCGTACCGGTATTTAGAAAAAAATTCCACAACTCTTCCATGACTCTCCATGACCATCAATATAATTTTCCAAGACTTGTATACGACAGGTTTATCATGACTGAAAGACTAACCGTGCATATTCTATCATCTCCTACAGTTGATAAATAGCAAACGTGTAAATGCATAGAGCAGGCAGACATAGAGGAGGCGAAATGACACAAATCTTAAAATTGGTACAAAATTATCAGTAGCGCGAGCATTTTGCTTCAGCATATCCAAAAAGCATGGTCCCTGGCCGAAAGTGGTGAGGAGAATATGTCAGGAAACATGCAGCGGAATAAATCACTTATGCCAATGTTACTATGAAAAAAAGTGAGATGTCATCATTTAGCATGTGCACCAAATTTCAGACGTCAGAACATCTTTTGTTACAAATCTGGTCAGTTCGGCATTGAGGTTGGCTTTGGCAGTGGATACACGCCTGCTCTCCGTCTCTACATTCACAGTGGCAGTAGACACTACCGTGCTGATTTTGGAGCAAGAAACTGCAGTAGCATTGCTGTCAGCGGGCAACAAATCGGAAATGCGTGACTGCGCTTTGCTTTTCTCCTCACTGTGTTGCTTAGCTAACTTGGTGTGTTTGCTGCCTTTGGCATGGCTCTTCAAAGCTGCTTCCCCCATATTTGACATATCGAAGTTTTTCGAGCACAATGTACATATCGCCAAACCTTCATGCTTTGGATGGCGAGCAAGCCAGTCGCGATAAGCTTCTATTCTTAACCACAAGTCATAAAATCTACACATTCCAGGCATGGTGATGTATAAATTTCACGCTGAAGATGGAACGTTGCCACTGCACATCAAAAAGTTGTCCAATGCAACTGAGCTCGGTCCCCGAGCTCACGTTATTGGTTCGCCAATCACGTGATCGACGGTCACGTGATTGGAGAACTATACAGAACGCAGGCAACAAGAGACCGCACAAACAGTAAACACACGCAGCACAGAAAAACTCTTCCTTTTTTTCTTCTTTACTTGCAAATTCCATGACTTTCCATAACCTGAAATGAAATTCAATGACATGCCAGGCCTGGAAAATGAAAAATAAAATTCCATGACTTTCCAGGTTTTCCATGACCGGTACGAACCCTGCTTACAGTCCTTCTTGATGAAGACTTTTGACGCCAGCCATCTCAGGTTCCTATCAAGGCCATACCTGATAGGGCTCTTGACCAGTAGCATTTGGACTACAGCCTACATTAAGTCCCACACTTGTGTCTTGAAAGTGAGAACTTGCAGTGCACTTGCCTTCTTGTCTGCAAGCTGTTTTTTTATAGCGGTCTTGGCCATGTAACCAAGATCAACCTTATTGAGGGAAGTCAAAACGCCTTTTGTTACATGACTTTCCATGACCTGAAATGAAATCCAATGACTTTCCAGGCCTGGAAAATGAAAAATCGAATTCCATGACTTTCCAGGTTTTCCATGACCGGTACGCACCCTGTACAAGATACGTTTAAGATACGCAACATACTACGCTACAGCAGTGACGTACCTTTAACCGTAATCAGCACGATGAGGCCAGTCACTGGGACGTTATAAGGACTTACCTTTAACCGTGATCAGCATGATGAGACCAGTGACCGGGACGTGGCAGGGACGTACCATTAACCGTGATCAGCATGATGAGGCCAGTGACTGGGACGTTATAAGGACGTACCATTAACCGTGATCAGCATGATGAGGCCAGTGACTGGGACGTTATAAGGACGTACCATTAACCGTGATCAGCATGATGAGGCCAGTGACCGGGACGTTATAAGGATGTACCTTTAACCGTGATCAGCATGATGAGACCAGTGACCGGTACGTGGTAAGGCTCCAGTTCGTTGTCGGACTCACAATACATGACGCGTTGATATCCTGAGTTCCTAACTTGTCGGACTGACAACCTGCGTGCGAGCAGAACTTGTTAATTCATTCTTGTACATATCATCCATTTACTTATTCAGCCATGTATCATCATATTCATGTACATATCATTCATTTATAGATGCGCCGGTAGCAAACAACTGTATTAGATGGGACAGGCAAGAGTTCCTTATTAATCCCTTGTATTGCTGGCAGAATCGCAGGGCAAAATTTATTATTAATATTAATAACATTTTTTACACTTCTATGAAAAATGAGCGAAAAAAAACAGAGGAGTGAGCAGAGCAAGAGAGTGCAGAGCAAGAGTGTGCAGAGCAAGAGTGTGCAGAGCAAGAGTGTGCAGAGCAAGAGTGTGCAGAGCAAGAGTGTGCAGAGCAAGAGTGTGCAGAGCAAGAGTGAGCAGAGCAAGAACGAGTGTGCAGAGCCAGAAAGAGCGTGCAGAGCAAGAAAGAGTGGGCAGGAGTATGCAAGAGTGTGCAGAGCAAGAACGAGTGTGCAGAGCCAGAAAGAGTGTGCAGAGCAAGAAAGAGTGAAAGTGTGCAGAGCCAGAAAGAGTGTGCAGAGCAAGAAAGAGTGAAAGTGTGCAGAGCAAGAAAGAGTGGGCAGGAGTATGCAAGAGTGTGCAGAGCAAGAGTGTGCAGACTTGCCTAGGATGGGAGAGTATCTTGTGCACATCTTCTGCACGGTGCAGAGTCTTGCAGCGGAGAGGCAGCAGCTCAGGTTTGCTGGTCTTGGTCACGGCCTCACAGAAGCGCTTCAGGAAGCCGTGTCTGTCAACACAAACATTCATAATATTAATATATATATAATAAAAATCATTATAATAATAAATAATAATAATCATACCATCATTTGAATTCATTACAACCTCGACGCTATCACAACAAAATAGGACCTAATTAATATATAATTATAATATGATAGGACATAAATAATATATAATGATAAATAATGAAAGTAATTAACAATCATAATTAAGCTAATTAAGACTGTCCAGTTAGCGAGTAGTAACAAGATCTTTGTTCAGATTTTGATGTCTTGAAGCATGCATCTTATAAAGGCTTTACGCTTAGGAACAAATTACAAGGCAATAGCAATGAAGATCATCATCATGCGAGATAATCCTGCGTTAGTTTTATTATTAAAATGCAATAAGGAGTTCGTTGCATTGTTGTATAAAACTCGGTAATGAGCTTTGATATATTGTTAAATAAAATTCGGTAATGAGCTTTGATGTAACTATTAAAACTCTACTGATGGTAAATACTCTGGTGACTTATAACCAGTTATAAGTAACATAGGCCATGTCGGTACTACCATACACTAGGAGAAATGAGTGGAATTGTCTGTGCACTCGATACTTTGTGCCCCTGTGTGGGTCATCTTGACCCAGTTTGGTCCGGGTAAAGGGCGTACCGGTATCATTGCTTCTACTCCCTGCTTGTACTATGAGTATGACGGTGTTTCACTATAAGGACGAAATGAACCATTTATTGTCGTGCTTATGACCCATTAATTGTCGTGATTGTGACGCATTGATTGTTCTGATTATGACTCATTGATTGTCCTGATTGTGACCCACATATTGCCCTGCTTATGACCCACCTTCGCACCAGATGCATCTTGGAGATATTGAAGCCGTTCAGGCAGAATGATTGTCCTGCTTATGACCCATTGATTGTCCTGATTGTGACCCACATATTGCCCTGCTTATGACCCACCTTCGCACTAGATGCATCTTGGAGATATTGAAGCCATTAAGGCAGAATGATTGTCCTGCTTATGACCCATTGATTGTCCTGCTTATGACCCATTTATTGCCCTGCTTATGACCCACCTTCGCACCAGATGCATCTTGGAGATATTGAAGCCATTAAGGCAGATGCCGTCGATGACGTGCAGCGCAGGTACCCGCCTGGTCCTCCTCTGCTTGTCGCCAGGCAGCGGCTCGTCGACGCTCATGTCGCGAATTTCGTCCACAAGTTCAGCATAAATTAGAGTGTCGGGCGGCAGCTCTACGTTGAGGTTCAAATGACCCCAGGAGGCCGGGCATAATGACTCACTTCGGTACACGTTCAGGCCGCCAAGACCTGCACGCGAAAACATTCATTAATTAATGTTCATGTACATAATTAATTTTATTTAGAAACATGAAATAAGTATACGAGGACCAGCAGTCAAAAACATGTACGAATTATGAGATGAATTAATGCAATTCAATTTATCTCAGATAAAAAGTAAACCATGTGTATGAGACCTGCAGTCACAAACACGTATGAATCATCACCCCAATTAATAAAATAAAAACATAATTATGTATAAGAGGCCGGTGACCTGCAGTCGAAAACATGCGAGGAAAATTTTAATTATGTACAGGGTGATTCACCAAAATTTCCTGTTTTGTATTTCGCGCCAAGCTGCCAATGTTGTAGGAAAGGGGCGGGGAGTATTTCATATGAAAGGCAAGGTCATGAAGTTTTGTGCCCCGCCTAGTCAGTTGCCACTATGCGTTGGACAAGTGAGCAGCGTGCATTTGCTGTCGAGGCGCCCTATTCTAATGGCCGTTCCATTATTGCTAAAACCCTACCTCATTTGAAGAACATACGCCAAGCCATAGCAAACACACCCGTCAATATGCTTCAGCGAGTTGAATGGAACTTTAAAAATTGACTAACTGAATGCTAAGTAGAAGTCTTGCTTACCTAAGTAGATGCCTTGCTTACCCAAGTAGAAGCCTTGCTTACCTAAGTAGATGCCTTGCTTGCCTAAGTAGATGCCTTGCTTGCCTAAGTAGAAGCCTTGCTTACCTAAGTAGATGCCTTGCTTGCCTAAGTAGATGCCTTGCTTGCCTAAGTAGAAGCCTTGCTTACCTGAGTAGAAGCCTTGCTTACCTAAGTAGAAGCTTTGCTTACCTAACTAAGTAGAAGCCTGCCTAAGTAGAAGCCTTGCTTACCTAAGTAGAAGCCCCGTTTACGCTGCTCCTCCTTAGCCACGGAGGACACCATGAAGCGGTAGTTGAGGGGGCTTGTCACGCTGGGCGGCTTGAGGTCGCTTACGTTCTTCACCTCCAGCAGCGCATGGGGCGTTTCTCCTGCGGAAAAACATATTTAAATAATACAAAACACAATACAATACATAAATAATACAATAATACAAAATAATACAATAAATATAGCGCATAAGCTCGTATCTTTTTACCTTGGCAAAAGTTGGAGACTAGGAATATTGCCCCGAATATGTCATGTTTTACATGTATATCAACGTATCATATAAAAATTTGCTACTTTTTGAAAGCATAAAGAAAATTAAGCCTGGAGACACCTGTTCTTATAACAGACGTGTAACAACGAGTCTGGAGACACCTGTCGAACAGCAATACTCCTAACACTTATTCAAGCGACAGCTAGTATGACATATTCAAGTATATAAACACAAGAAATTAAGAGTGATCCTCGCATACATAAAAATATAATTTGGAAGGTATGGCTGCATTAAATTAAGAAGGCATGGCTGCATTAAATTAAGAAGGCATGGCTGCATATAATAAACAGACTGCCGTCGTCACAGCATCAAGTTTAAGAGGCAACAAACCAATTTCTAGCCCCATACCTACTGATGGGAAAGTAGCAAAACAACAAGCAGATTTTACACACAAAGAGATAACAAGTTTCTAACAGCAGCAGCAGCAATACAAAGTTCATTTTTTATATGCAGACCGAGAAGTTTTCCAGGTTCCAATGTTGCTCACCAACATCACATTCACTTCAATGTTGCTCATCAACATCACATTCACTTCAATGTTGCTCACCAACATCACATTCACTTCAACGTTGCTCACCAACATCACATTCACTTCAATGTTGCTCACCAACATCACATTCACTTCAATGTTGCTCACCAACATCACATTCACGCAGAATTTTCATCGCCTTCCTCTCAGGAGGCTCCCTGAGAGGCGCCCTCCGAGAGATGTCCGGCACACCCCAGGCTGAGAGGCTCTCGGTCCTCATGGCGCTCTGCCGGGCCTCCGTCAGCGTGTTGTCCTCAGCGAACAGACGAATTTTGTGCAGACTTCTTATCTGTTTTTCGCCGATACTGCGAGATAAGAATACAACTTGAAATGTACAATCATGAGCCACTCATGCTCTTACCAATGAAGCTCAGACAAAAAACCTACTAACAATAAAAACTTGTTGAAAAATTTAATTATTAGTCACCTTAATTAGTAACAAGTGATCTTAAGTTGGGCGTGAAGAAGACGTATGTCGTGAGGATGTCTTCTTGTCTCACGAAGAGAACCTCCATTGGCAAAATTCAATCTTTATCCAACTTATTTGGATAAGAAACTAACATCAAACCAAGTTTATAAAAGAACAAAGGTGAATAAAATAAAATCGTGAGAAAATTTGATTAAAATTAATCAAATTCATATTTAATTTACCCAAGATAATTTACCTATAAGAAAGCTGTACCTAAAATATCATATGAGCAGATTCCCATAAAAGTTTGGTACGTTAGCATTATGCTAATCACAGCGTTTTTATTTCCTACATTTAATCTTATGGAGCCAAACTTGCATCACCCACACACATTGACGAATTCAGCCACAGAATCCTGATATTGAACTCAAGAATTCGCTTCACTGGCAATTACGAACAATTTATGAGACAAAAAATCTTAAACTGGTCAAATGAGTGATTTATAACAAATACATCTTCGTCACGTTTGTAGGAAGTAGAGCAAAGATATGGTCTTTACTGAACAATGGCTATGATGGTCTAAACACTGCTGATATTACCAACAGGTTTGAGCTTCAATGTCGCTTGTTTGTTTGAATCGCAATTTCAATAGAGATTTAAAACCAAAGAAAATTCTACGAAATTTTTTCTATGAAGGCATAAATTTTTGTAGAATTTTCTTTTTTTTTTTAATTTAAATTTGCACGATATAAGCAGCCATACCTGTTGTTCATATCCTTGATGTAGTGCAGGAATTTCTCATCGTTCTGTATAAGCTCTGGCGGCACGAGATGCGTCACGTCGCGGTCGCCGGAGCTGAGCTTCAGTTCGTTGAGCTTATCGTTGACGGAGAACAAGTAACTGTAAACACTGCTGCAGCCACTGCGCAGTCCTTTGCAGATAATGTACCTGGCACAGAACATTAACTGTACACACTGCTGCAGCCACTGCGCAGTCCCTTGCAGATAATGTACCTGACACAGAACATTAACTGTAAACACTGCTGCAGCCACTGCGCAGTCCCTTGCAGATAATGTACCTGGCACAGAACATTCATGCATTGAATAACTGTGTTAGAATAACATCGAATAACTGTGTTAGAATAACATTGAATAACTGTTACACGCTACTGGTGTTAGATGCTTCAGATATTTTGTGAGGTTTTTGTTAAAGCTTTCTGGGCTTCAATGCTCTAATAATAAAATTTAAAAATTGTAATCGTCAAAGACGTCTGATATGTGCACACTTGCGCAGTGTACAAACATTTTACAGTTAACCTTCAGAATTAAAAATTTAAAATCGGAATGCTTACTCAATACTGGTTGTCAAGTTTTTTTTTTTCTTGCTATTCATACTGATCTTCAAATATTGAACATATTTTGTTCAAATACCAATTTTAATTATTCAGGATATTTTCAGGATATATGCCCATCTCTTGCCAAACAGTAAGAAAAGCGACAATTTGGTACAACGTCTAATTAAGTTTCATTAATGCACGGAAGCAGAAGGACATCCTTGTAGTCTTGTTTCTATATTCCAGATTAAAGCTTTTTTTTATATCTTAATGATCTTATTGATTTTTTTATCTCGCCAGCGAAGTGGATCAGGTACCCTGGATCTCACAGTATCCACCACACCAAATAGAAAATATATCACAATTAATAAGATCAATTAAATTAGTCATATCTTCGGTGAAAACATTTCAGAGACCAGCTTCATCATCATGTTCTTTGCTTTTAAATTCACGGTGAACTAATGATATATAATACAGGTAATCTAAAGTGAACTAATGAAATAATATAATACAAGGTGAACTAATTATACAATATAAGATGAACAAATGATATAAGTATAATATAGGTAATATAAAGTGAATGAATGAAATAATATAATACAAGGTGAACAAATGATACAATATAAGATGAACAAATGATATAAGTTATTATGATGTTTAACCTCTCAGAGTTAGCTGGTCTGCTGGTGTTGGGCTTGTGGATGGAGACGCGTCTGAAGCAGCGATACATGAGGTAGATGAGCTCTACGCTGAAGGGCGTGAACGTGTCGAATAACTTGCACACAAAATGCCCGCCTGTACATATAAGATAATTACTATAATACAACAATTAATTCGCATATTATAATTAAAAGTAATGAGGCGCAATATTTGTAATATGAACCATAACTTTATAGGCAGGAGTTACAGTAATGTAGTGCAAGACTCTGACAACAGCACATGCTGATTTGTGGTAAAAAAAACAGCAAATAAATAATTATCTGTACATTACTAGGCTCCTCGACTTGTTATTGCCATTCGGAACCTACAATAATGCATTGAAATAAAAACAGGGTACCACCACCAAATATCTCGGTCATGCCAAAATAAATCCATTTACGAGTTTTGCCATCTGGTCTAAATTCGTGGGCGCTGTTTCAACAGTTTCTGTCATCATTGCTAGAGGAATAAATCTTACTAATATGTTCTATATTTATTTTATGTTGGCCCAACCTAAACATTGAGTTTAATATTAATTTCAACTTTGGTATCAATTGAACATGTTAATTTAACCTGTGGGTTTTTGCTACAATTTGCATAATTGAGCTTCGTAGTTAAGAACAACTAGCAATACAAGCCTGACAATTGTTGAGCTTTGACAACAGTAGAAACCTCAAAGTTTGATCTAAATTATTAACAGCAAAGTCCATTTCTGCAAAATATATGGGGAAAAAATTGAAAATTTTTCTCTTTTAGAGTACCCAACCTCCCTAACTGCAGTACCCCCAACCTCCCTAACTGCAGTACCCCCACCCTCCCTGACTGCAGTACCCCCACCCTCCCTGACGATGCCCAGGGCGACCGTGAACTGCCCCAGGAAAGCGGTATGCTCAGCACGCAGCACTCGACATACAGCACGCAGTATCCAACACACAGAAACACGCAGTATTTAGCACACAGCACGCAGTATTCAGCACACAGTACCCACCCTCCCTGACAATGCCTAGGGCGACCGTGAACTGCCCCAGGTAGAGCTGCTTGCTCAATATCTCCTGGATGTTCTCTTGCCCCTCTACATTAAAGCCGCCGTCCGCCATCATGAAGTGCACGCCGCGCCCCCGCGTCGCCGTCTTCACGAAGTCGCAGAAGCTGCTGATGTTATGCCCCTTGTAGATATCACCATCTCCATCACCCTTCTTGCCTCGATCACTGTCGCCTGTCAAGGGAGATTATTATTCTCATATCTTACCGTTATTCACCACAAAATTAGTCACCATAGTAGTCACCCATGAGTCTTGTGTCACTGTCGCCTGTCAAGAAAAATCATTATTCTCATATCTAACCATACTCCTATAAATTTTTCTCAATACGATAACCGTAGAAGTCTCTCAAGTATCCTCGGTCACTGTGACCAGACTTGTCAGTTTCATCATCCCCCACAAAACAAAAGAGATACGTTATTAAGCTGCAGAGAAACCTTATTCACCGCAGAAACCCTATGAAGCTGAAGTTAATGTTAAGGATACAAATAAGAGATACCAGCCATTGATCCCACACGATCAGTAATACTTACACAAACTTTGATCTCTCGTCATTTATTTAATATTAATGATGTAATTTTCATATCTCTTTCATAGTTAGAAGCTTTAATCACGCAATTTTTTAACAATATTTACCGTAGTGCGGTTCAAAGAACTCTCTAGGAGCTGCGTAGAAGTCATGCAGTTTGAAGTCATTAGAGCGCAATGTGAAGCCAAAGCCATGCACATCAGGGAAGCCATCACTGATTGTTTTGCGGCGCCATATGGCATACTCGGCGAACCCTCCTGGCGCAGCACACACGTCAGCAAAGTATAGGATGTTGTCCTCTTGCACCATGGGCTTCTGCTCATCAAAAACACATCATTTAGAGTACCAATGCAGTTTTTATAAGTATTTTGTTTCGCAGTTCAAGTGGACAGGCTATATAACTGACTTGCAACATTGGCTTCTGCTCATCAAAAACACATAATTTCGAGTACGAATGCACTTTTTATAAGCATTTTATACCGCAGTTCGAGTGGACAGGCCATAAACAAGACAGCTTGGAATACCGCCGGTCATTGTTTTCAAGATTTTTAGTTCAAGTACGCAGGGAAAATTTGAACAGTAATGAAGAAAAGATGGTGTATACAAAGAAATTTGTGTTTTAGATGCATCACAAGAAAAAACTAATGTACTTTGGTTAACTATATAATTAACGTTGTTACATTCAAACTGTTGTTAATACATTAAAATATATTTTTGTAATCTGCTTTTCAGGCCCAACTAACAAGTAACAACAGTATAAAAACCCTGTTAATTTCATTGGAAAACCAACAAGAAAATTACTCTACAAATGTAACACGACACATACAAACGTCTACATAAGCTGAATATTCCTGAAATATGTACAAGAGGAGGAACTGACTCCATGTGGGTCGGTGGGCCTAGTGAACATCATGCCGCATATGGCGTCCAAGTTTGCCATCTTGAGGGCAGCTCTGTTCTGGAAGAACACTTTGCCGATGGTCTCGAAGGGGTTACTGCGAACTCGCGCTCGCTGGATCTCCCGCTCGCTTAGTGCATCAAACACTGTCTGCAAAAAGTTTTTAATATTATAAACTGCTATCAACGTACCGTATATACTTGTACATTATAAAAAATGGTTCAATATGTGTATATTTTAAAGAATATATTTAAATACCGTAAAATGGGGTAACTTAGACCACTTTTTTTTATAAATGATGCCATTTTTTTACTAGCTAAATTAAACTTGGATTTAAACATGCAAAATACAGGTCTATACTCTAGCTTCACTCACCATAAATTGCTGGCTCCTGCCTCTCATAGTCACCGGGTGGTAAAATCAATTATATTTTTTGGTAAAATAACTCCAGGTTTTGGTGCATTGTAGTAGAACTCTTCTAGTTACATATGCAAATGACAAACTTGAGGAAAGTGTCATAGTTTGCAAATGGGGGGTCCTGCCCCCCAGGTGGTCTAAGTTCCCCCAAACGGGAGAACTCTGACAACCTAATGGCAGCCCTGACAGGGTTAACATAGACCGGCCTGGAAATTAAGTTAAATTACCAAATATAAGACTCTGTAGAGTCTGAAACCTAAAGAAAAAACATAAATAGGCTGTCAAACATAAAATATGTTATATATGGTAATTTTACATTAACTTCCAAGCCGGTCTATGTTACCCCGTCAGGGCTGACATTAGGTGGTCTAAGTTACCCCATTTGGGGGCGTCGCTCCCCATTTGCAAACTATGACACTTTCCTAAAATTTGTCATTTGCATATGTAACTAGAAGAGTTCTACTACAATGCATCAAAACCTGGAGTTATTTAACCAAAAAATAAAAAAATTGGAGGGGGTACTCTGACAGGCTTTAAATAATAGCTTTTTCCATGGGTCACATTTTTAATTTTTTAACCTATTAGATATGCAAACTTTTCAAATCTTTCTATTGTGTTATGTGGCCTCAGTATTAGGCCTTTAATGCCCATTGACAAAATTTTTCTATGTCAAATAGTTTTTGAGTTGTAGGGGTTTTTGTTAAAAAAGCGAAAAGTGGTCTAAGTTACCCCGCCGGTCTAAGTTACCCCATTTTACGGTAATGTTCGTGAAGTTAACTTATCTGCCTTTTCAAATGCTTGTCAAATTGAGAGGAAAAACAAGAATTTATAATATAAATAAAAAGAACAGTACCTATAAGAAGACTCCATATTACACTTTTCCATCATTTTGATTGTTTGTGCAGTTTTTAGGTTGTTGTCAGATGTTGATCTTAGTTGCATACAAAATTTTCAAGCCAACTGAGACCAGGATAAAATTAGTTAATGGTGTTTCTGCAGTACAATAAATCAACAAAAATTATTTACAAAAATGTTCATATTTCTCAGAAAACACACCTTTGCATCGAGCACACCCTTGAGAATACTCTCATCACAATAATCTGTTTCATCACTGATGTCAAGCTTCTTTGGTCCAATTGTCATCCACTGAGTGAGCAAGGCAAGGGATAATGGTTCTGGGTTGGGGCATTCAGCCATCCAAAGGACTTCTTCCTCCACACTTGCTTCCTGAGAATATCAAAATAAATTGCGCCAAACGATTTTGATAAATATTCAGAATCAACATATAGCTATTAGGGAATATTGATATTAAAACAAAATTTGAACTGGAAAATAGTCTGTGATCAGATGAAAAAATAGGGTAAATATATCTTAAATTTGAGACAGCAACATTAAAGGGTAGACTGAAAATAGTAGAAAATAAAAATCTATTTCACTTATATATACATACAGCATCAGAAAACTAGACTCAGATTGGAATGTCTCAAAACTGAACACTAATTTATCAAACACAATTCAATAATGAAACCTCACATCAAGCTGGCCATCATGGAAATCCTTAATAATAGCTGGCTGCAGCTGAGGGAGTGAGTGGCCAAGACCCCTCCTGCCTTTCTGATGAGATGCTTCTACAGGCTCCAAGCGACCAGACTGTGATGCTCCCAAGCCTCGGCCTTCCTCATAACCCATCTTATTCTGCAATACAAGGCAAATTATAGACTAAACTAATAATTAAATAATAGGCATATGAATATTAAAGTTAGGAATTAAAACCTAAATCTATATATCAAAACTTTTGTTTAATCATGTGCTTCATCAAATTGATTTCATTGCAAGTACCGGTATACGCATTCAAAACTACTATAGAAGTGATCTCAAACATTTTAAATTATAAAAATTTTAAATTATAAAAGACATGGCAGAACAGAGAAGAACACAAACCATCAACTTTTGAGAAATAGAGCTGTAATGGGGCTTAGGGCCACTGCTGGTTGATGTTGTGTTGTTGGAAGATAGTGAAGACGTCCCAGAGTTCAAACCATAATTTTTTCCATTTTCAGGAATGGACGGTGAGAAGTTTTTGGGGGAGTCAGATGTGGAGGGTGTGAACTGAGTCATAGTGTCAGGGCTGTAATCAGGCTGCATGCCTGCAGGCATATAGTCTTCTGATATATCTGACTGTGATGCAAGACTATGATTGTTCATCTCTTCTGGACTTGAAAGACTGTCTGCATCTCCCAGAGAACTTCTTCCATAAAAACTGTGTGCTGAAGAGAGCAAGCTAGAATTGCTCGCTGATCTATCACTTTGTGATGGTTTAGGTGAAGAGAGCAAGCCTGAATTGCTTGCTGATCTATCACTTTGTGATAGTTTAGCTCTTTTCTTCTTCCCCCCATTGTCTTCATCATAACCTCGCTTTTGGGAACTCATTTTTAACTGGAAACAAATACTCTGTTCAAGCAATGATAAATTAAGAGCCATATATATACAGTATAATAAATATTTAGTCTCTAATTTTTTGGAAAATAATTACTTATAAAAATGTAAAATAATATCACCCAATAAAACAAAATTTTTGATAGTGTTGACTATTTAGAAAAATTATAAAGATTAAAAACTCTTAAAGCTCTCTGTGAAGTGCAAAGCTTAATACATCATTAGTCTACAGTGATACTTCTGCTTACCAAGCTAGTTAGCTAACTTATTCCAAGATCTTTTCCATTCAGCCAGAATTCAATTTACATGTAATGAAGGAAGCACTGTAAAATCAGAAATCCAGATGCATTTACTCAAGTAGGCATTTGTTATATATGCTTCTATTTCAACATTTTCAGGGTCCAGGGAACCAAAATGGAAAATGGATCAAAAGTAATTACATTGATAAAATTTCAAGTAAAATTTATAGATTGCACAATGCACAGCTTAGCTGTAGGTGGCATCTATCCTTTTCAAACAAAGATTTTAGCTTTCTGGCTATTTTTGCAGCCTCAAGATTCCTGTTAGTTAGACAAAATAGATACTGATACATGATCTCTTCATTCTCTTATATAATGCCAATGCTGAAAACCTTGCCAGTTACCAGCAGCACTTTAGTTGCAGTTGCGTGAGTTGCCTGCCTCTCCAAGAAACAATCTATTTTATAAACAAAACTGCGCTGCATCTTCCTAGAATCCTAGCCCAATCAAAAAAGTTTTTTAGTCAACAAGTGGCAATGAACCTTACAAATGGTAAATAATCAGAATTCAGGATTAGAATTTTTCTACTTGTTTCTGAAATCTTGCAGCTCAAGCGTGTTGAATTTTTAATACAATTGGAATCTTGCAGCCTCAGCCAGTCAGCCTCATTGTGCACTTTTGTTAACAATTAGTTTAGTTAGTAGGTAATTCATCAGGTCATTCAGGTGGACGGAAATCTCGCAGTTCCAGAAATGGCAGGAAACCTGTAGGTGACCATGCAGCCGCCAGCCACCAGCCCTACGCAGCATCAGCATGTCACTAAAATTCATATAGAATAGGTAGGTAGACTAATACTGGTCAATGGTCATAATTACCAATTGCAAGGATATAGGCCTATCAAAGATGCTAGCCTCTGCCTGGCTGCCTGAGAAACGCAATCACAGTCACAGGCTCACAGGCCACAGGCCCCACAGCCAACTCTTGAAAGTTGAAGGTGAACCTTTGAAGGTCTCAAGTCCAGCTATTGGCTATCCCTATCATATTCTCATAATTCTGTAGGCTACAACTTTCAATTTATACTGTTAACCTTCATTCTAGTTTCTAGGTATGCAATAACATCTACTTTAACTCCATCATCTCCATTAATATTGTCTCCATTTCCATGTAATCCCAGCTTCCCAGGCACCACCAAACTTGTCCATACTTCTTTTATGTCCATATGTTTAGCCTTAAAATGCCTCGTTTGAGTCGTACCCTACGGAACAAGAACAACTGATATCTAGAAGCGATTTTTCATCTATCGTCCGTTGAAAAGATCTGATCAAAAGGCCAGTCTAGTCAAGAAAAGAACAAGACTCGGCGACACCGCGACAGGCGTATTCTTTAATGCCGAAGATACTATACTATATAACTATAACATCATATTTACTTGCTCTTTCTCCTAAAGGCTAAAGCACTGCCCAATAATCCTTCCTCCTTAAACCTTACCAGTAAACACTAATTTGCTTTACAAACGTGATCCTGCATGCGGCCACTTCTTCTTCTTCTTTTCCGGATGTCCACGCTGGGTGGACTTAAAGCCACAGGACAACCGCAAGGATGACCGTGGGGCCTGAGAGCTTCTGCAGTTTTGGACCTCTTGGCATGGAAGTCAATCCACTTTGTTCTTGCTTATAAAATGTCAGTGGACGTGATGGTTTGGCATGACAGCGTGTAAGAGAAAAGTTACACATAACATGAAAAAAAATATCAGAAAAACAAGGGTCATTGCTTTAATTTGCTTATAGAACTTGGCATAATAAATGATGGTTAAATTGGGTAAACTAATACAAGTAAGATAATTCGGGTGATGCATGTGTATACATGCACATACAAACATACATATACATACAAATGCCGGCTCCACCGATACCGAAGAAAATTCTCCTTGATCTCCTTCGACTGTGCACTTCCGAATCACCTTTCCGGACTCCCGACAACAAAATTTACCGACAAACTAACGGCGTAGCCATGGGCAGTCCTCTTGGTCCCACCTTCGCAGAATTCTATATGTGCGAAATTGAAAATAGAGTTTTGATAAGTAGAAGCCTTGCATACCTAAGTAGAAGCCTTGCATACCTAAGTAGAAGCCTTGCATACCTAAGTAGAAGCCTTGCATACCTAAGTAGAAGCTTTGCATACCTAATTAAAAGCCTTGCATACCTAATTAGAAGCCTTGCATACCTAAGTAGAAGCCTTGCTTACCTAAGTAGAAGCCTTGCTTACCTAAGTAGAAGCCTTGCATGCCTAAGTAGAAGCCTTGCATACCTAAGTAGAAGCCCTGCTTACCTAAGTAGAAGCCTCGTTTGCACTGCCCCTCAGCCACGGACGACACGACGTAGCGGTAGTTGAGGGAGCTCGTCACGCTAGGCCACTCAAGATCGCTTGCGTTCTTCACCTTCAGCAGCGCGTGTGGCGTGTCGCCTGCAATATAACGCATTTCAAAATAATACAATTAATAAAGCGGATAATTTCAAATCTTTTCCCTTGGCAGATATTGAAGACTAGGAATATTGCGCAAAACAAATATGTTTTATTTTCTAGATAAAGGTATCATATAAAAATTTGCTACTTTTTGTAAGTAGAAAGAAAATTAAGCGTTGAAACACCTGTTCTTATAACAGCCGTGCAACAACAAGCCTGGAGACACCTGTTCTTATAACAGCCGTGCAACAACAAGCCTGGAGACACCTGTTCTTATAACAGCCGTGCAACAACAAGCCTGGAGACACCTGTTCTTATAACAGCCGTGCAACAACAAGCCTGGAGACACCTGTTCTTATAACAGCCGTGCAACAACAAGCCTGGAGACACCTGTTCTTATAACAGCCGTGCAACAACAAGCCTGGAGACACCTGTTCTTATAACAGCCGTGCAACAACAAGCCTGGAGACACCTGTTCTTATAACAGCCGTGCAACAACAAGCCTGGAGACACCTGTTCTTATAACAGCCGTGCAACAACAAGCCTGGAGACACCTGTTCTTATAACAGCCGTGCAACAACAAGCCTGGAGACACCTGTTCTTATAACAGCCGTGCAACAACAAGCCTGGAGACACCTGTTCTTATAACAGCCGTGCAACAACAAGCCTGGAGACACCTGTTCTTATAACAGCCGTGCAACAACAAGCCTGGAGACACCTGTTCTTATAACAGCCGTGCAACAACAAGCCTGGAGACACCTGTTCTTATAACAGCCGTGCAACAACAAGCCTGGAGACACCTGTTCTTATAACAGCCGTGCAACAACAAGCCTGGAGACACCTGTTCTTATAACAGCCGTGCAACAACAAGCCTGGAGACACCTGTTCTTATAACAGCCGTGCAACAACAAGCCTGGAGACACCTGTTCTTATAACAGCCGTGCAACAACAAGCCTGGAGACACCTGTTCTTATAACAGCCGTGCAACAACAAGCCTGGAGACACCTGTTCTTATAACAGCCGTGCAACAACAAGCCTGGAGACACCTGTTCTTATAACAGCCGTGCAACAACAAGCCTGGAGACACCTGTTCTTATAACAGCCGTGCAACAACAAGCCTGGAGACACCTGTTCTTATAACAGCCGTGCAACAACAAGCCTGGAGACACCTGTTCTTATAACAGCCGTGCAACAACAAGCCTGGAGACACCTGTTCTTATAACAGCCGTGCAACAACAAGCCTGGAGACACCTGTTCTTATAACAGCCGTGCAACAACAAGCCTGGAGACACCTGTTCTTATAACAGCCGTGCAACAACAAGCCTGGAGACACCTGTTCTTATAACAGCCGTGCAACAACAAGCCTGGAGACACCTGTTCTTATAACAGCCGTGCAACAACAAGCCTGGAGACACCTGTTCTTATAACAGCCGTGCAACAACAAGCCTGGAGACACCTGTTCTTATAACAGCCGTGCAACAACAAGCCTGGAGACACCTGTTCTTATAACAGCCGTGCAACAACAAGCCTGGAGACACCTGTTCTTATAACAGCCGTGCAACAACAAGCCTGGAGACACCTGTTCTTATAACAGCCGTGCAACAACAAGCCTGGAGACACCTGTTCTTATAACAGCCGTGCAACAACAAGCCTGGAGACACCTGTTCTTATAACAGCCGTGCAACAACAAGCCTGGAGACACCTGTTCTTATAACAGCCGTGCAACAACAAGCCTGGAGACACCTGTTCTTATAACAGCCGTGCAACAACAAGCCTGGAGACACCTGTTCTTATAACAGCCGTGCAACAACAAGCCTGGAGACACCTGTTCTTATAACAGCCGTGCAACAACAAGCCTGGAGACACCTGTTCTTATAACAGCCGTGCAACAACAAGCCTGGAGACACCTGTTCTTATAACAGCCGTGCAACAACAAGCCTGGAGACACCTGTTCTTATAACAGCCGTGCAACAACAAGCCTGGAGACACCTGTTCTTATAACAGCCGTGCAACAACAAGCCTGGAGACACCTGTTCTTATAACAGCCGTGCAACAACAAGCCTGGAGACACCTGTTCTTATAACAGCCGTGCAACAACAAGCCTGGAGACACCTGTTCTTATAACAGCCGTGCAACAACAAGCCTGGAGACACCTGTTCTTATAACAGCCGTGCAACAACAAGCCTGGAGACACCTGTTCTTATAACAGCCGTGCAACAACAAGCCTGGAGACACCTGTTCTTATNCTCACCTAATCAGAAGTATCGCTCACCTAATCAGTAGTATCGCTCACCTAATCAGAAGTCTCGCTCACCTAATCAGAAGTCTGACTCACCTAATTAGAAGTATCGCTCACCTAATCAGAAGTCTCGCTCACCTAATTAGAAGTATTAGAAGTCTTGTGTACCTAGGTAGAAGCCTGGCCTAATACAGTAGAAGCCTAATTACCATAGCCTTGTTTGCCTACACTACCGCTCAAAAGTTTGGGGTCACATCGAAATATTTTTACTTTTGAAGCAAAAGCACAGTTCTTTTCAATAGAGATAACTTCAAACTAGTCATAACTGCAAAGAAATATACTCAATACATTGCTAATGTGTTAAATGAATAATTCAGCTGCAAATGTCTGGTTTGTGGTACAGTATCTACAGGTGTATGGAGGCCCTATATAGCAACTATAAC